CCACTCATCCTTCCATCCATCCATCCACCCATCTATCCACCCATCTATCCACCCATCTATCCATCCATCCACTCATCCTTCCATCCATCCATCCATCCACCCATCTATCCACCCATCTATCCACCCATCTATCTATCCAACTACTCGTCCTTCCATCCATCCATCCACCCATCTATCCACCCATCTATCCATCCATCCACTCATCCTTCCATCCATCCATCCATCCATCCATCCATCCATCCATCCACCCATCTATCCATCCATCCACCCAACTATCCATTCACCCACCCACTCGTCTATCTACCCATTCACCCATCCATCTATCCATCCACTCATCCATCCATCCATCCATCCACCCATCTTCCAAGTATCGATCCACCCATCTACCTATTTATCCACCCATCCATCTATCCATCCATCCATCCACCCATTCATACATACATCCATATGTACATCCACCCACCCATACATACATACGTACATCCGCCCATTCACCCATTCATCAATCAATCCACCCATACATACATACATACATCCACCCACCCATCCACCAGCCCATCCATCCACCCAGTGAGTCACGTCTCACTCAAGACCATGGGCCCTGGCTGGCCTCATGCATCCTGACCTGTGCAGTCCTCATAGCTTGTCCCTTTGCCTCGGCCCAGGAGACCATGAGTCTGGCACTGTCAGAGGAGAAGGAGGTGGCCATGTGCCGGCTGGAACAGGAGAAGGAGCTGGTGGCAAAAGGTGCAGCTGAGAGGGAGGCTTTGAAGGAGGAAATTCAGAACCTGAAGCAGGAGCACGATGAGAGCCTCCTCCAACTGGAGCACGAAATGCAACAGGTGAGAGGGGACTGTGAGACAGTGGGGGGGGGGTCCTCACCCCTACTTCGCCATGCTTTCTCTGACCCAACATGAGGGCTGTGTGGCAGGCAACCCCACATACAGGTGCAACCTTTCCAGGTCACTACTATTGCAGCTTTTTTCTTCTACAGCAGTCCTACGGACAGACATCCAGCCACCTCCCCATCAATCCGTGCATCTGTCAGTCTGCCCATCCATCCACCCACCCACCCATCCACCCATCCATCCATACATACATCCATATATTCACCCATCTGCCCATTCATCTATCCATCTACCCATCTATCCATCCATACATCCATCCATCCATCCAATGTATGTGCTCGTCAGTCCATGTGACCAACTGTCCTTTCACCCATTCATCCTACCACATACTCAACTGTACTTCCATTCACTTGTCCACATCCACCCATTCATTTGAAAGTAACATGTTTTCTATCCACATACCCAGATGTCCATCCATGCATGTGATCATCCACACACCCAACCATCCATCAACACACCTGACCGTTTATCTATCCAACCACTGAGCCAGCCAGTCATTTGTCTCTCCACACCTGTGCACACAGAGTGGTGTTGTTCTTTGTCGTGGCTGAGTAATGTTCCGTGGGTGCAGGGGTGATTCCCTTGTCTTGGGGCCCCTCAGTGGACATTCAGGAGTTCCTGGTTTTCCTGCCATTTTACAACACTGTGGCTGATGGCCCTGAGCACTGGTCACTCTGCACCTGTGCTGTCCCCAGCTGTTTCCCCCTCAACACGAACCTGTGCCTCCATGATGGTGTTAAGTGCTGCCAGGTCCCTTTCGCTCTCCCGGCCTCCCTGAGAGTATGTCCTTACAATTAAAGAGACTCGGCATTTGGGGTGTTGACAGACCATCAGTGGCTCCTTCTCTGCACTGGAGGGGTCGGGGGCTTCGAGGAGGGGTGGTTGTGAAGCCCCTGGGCTACACTGGGCCTTTGTAGAGAGTATGGTCTGGACAGGTGCAGGATATCCCCCATGGGAGGCAGCCTGGACATAGGGGTGAGGTCAGGAAGGTGCCTGGCAGAGGGAGGAAGCTCTGGGGCTGATAGGCCGCACCCCACCCCCCCCCCGCCAGACCTCCCTCCAGGTCTCTATCCTAGGTGTGGGAACTCAAGGGCTGCCTCTGTGGGGTCCTGGCCCCTCCCCACGGCAGCAACGTACAGGTGGAAACATACGGTGGGCCTGCAGGGGCATTAGCGGCAGGTCTGCTTAGAGAGGGGCTGCCCCCTCCCAAGCCCCCGCACCCCTCACCAGCACCACGCCCTGTGACCTCCAGGCCCTGTCTCTGAAAGAAGCAGAGTGGAGCCTGCTGAGGGAAGAGCTGTCCACGGCCACGCAGGAGCTGGAGTGGGTGCGGCGGGAGGCCCGGGGCCGGCAGGAGCTAGCCGAGGTGAGCCCCCGCCCAGCCAGGGACCCTGCACCCCACAGACACGCCCTCTTCCTGCCAACACCGTGTGCCCAGGCCGCCCCCTCCCCACCACTTGAGCCTCAGTTTCCCCAGCGTCTCCTGGGCCCCTCAAGGAGGAGAGTCTTAATGGGCACGAAGGGGCTGCAGGAGCTCACCTCTCCTCAGGGAGAACCAGGAACCGGGCCCCCTACCCCAGACCCAGTGCCTAGCACTGGCAGGGCCAGAGGCCAGGACCTTGCCTGGGCCCGACCCATGGGCAGGGGCCCTGTGCCCCCGGCCTCCCCTCTGTGCACTGAGCTGCTCCTGGTGAAGAACACAGGCGTGAGGTTGTCGGAGGCGAGAGGAAGGGGGCACGGATGAGGCCACGGGGGCTGGGGGCAAACTCACCGAGAGAGCTCTTCCAAAGAGAAATTAAACCAGAAGAGGCTGGCAGATGCCCGAGGCGGCCTTCATGCATAAAGACCCTTTCGGGGATCCCAAGCTGACCAGGAGAGGCTTCAGCCTAGGGGGCCACCAGGGACCATGGAAGCCCCCCCAGGGAACAACTGCCCACCCCAACAGTGAACAAGGCTGCTGTGGGCAGCTAGCTGGGGTCCCTGGGCCTCTCCTCTGGAGCCCATACTGGGGTGGTCGGGCGCCCAGGAGTCAGGGTGAGTCTGTGACCCCATGCCCCCGCCCCATGGGTGGGCTGGGCGCTGCTGCTGTCGAGGGCAGGGCAGCCTCTGTGCTCCGGGGCCCAAGGCCTCAGCCAAGTCCCCTGTGGATGACACAGAGACAGGGAGGGCCTGGGGCAAAGAGCTATGGGGCAGGAATCAGCAAGGAGGGGGCCAGGGCTAGGGAGGACAGACGAAGGTGAGCTTGCACCCTGGTGGAAGGGAGCAGGATCCGCGGCCAGGAGACTCCCCTGCAGGGAGCAGCCGAGGTCCAGGGCTGGCCCTGCACTGTCCACCCCGGCTCCCTCCTCGGCCTCTCTCCCACGTCTCGGCCAAACACGCCTCGCCTTGCCGGGCCAGCCCTGTTTCCTCTGCCTGCGCCGTTTTCCTGCCAGCCCCCATCACAGCTGGCGATACCGAGGCACATTCCGGAACTCCTGTGCTCATTTTCGGTCCAGGAGATCCGAGGTGCCCCAGCCTCAGGAGGCCCGGGACTGGATGGCCGAGTGGTGTGAGCAAATGTCTCAGAGCGAGTGGATGGGTGAGGACGCCCGTGCTGGGCAGTCGTGAGCAGGAACAGTTCTCCACCGCAGGCCGGCAGGGCGGGGGCATGTCGGCAGGACGGCAGCCCCAGGGAAGCGGCGTTTCTCCCTGACCTCCGTTGGTGGGGCTCGTCACCAGCCCCTGCGACATCTGCAGTGGGAAAGGATGTTGCAATGAGCAGTCCACGCAGCCAGGGCGTGTCCTCGCCTCCCCTGCCTGACACCGCGACCCGGGTTCCAGGTCACCCTGAGCAGGGCCGCCCCAGGATCCAGGAAAGTCTTGCCCAAGAGCTTCCCGCTTCCTGGAGCCCCCGCTGGGCCCCTCCCCCTCGGCCTGGCCAGCCCAGTCTGGGGGCATGGTGGGGAGGGGGAGCTGGCTGCAGGGCCTTGGGGGTCTCCTCCCTCCTCCTGCCCTCCTCCGCCTGCCCCGTGGGCAGCGGAACCAGGAAAGCCCTCCTGGGGACAGTGCTGGCTTCCAGAGCCTTGTCTTGAGCTGGCTTGGAGTCTCCCCTGGACCTGGAACGTGCCTACCCGCCAGCAGGCTCTTTGGGGAGCTCGTTAAGGGCTCTTTTGCCACCTCAGCTGGGGAAATGGAAATTAAACCCACCTGGAGGGGAGGAGCGAAGTGGCAGCCAGAGCTGCTGGTCACGGTGATGTGAACCAAGCATCCTGGGCAAGGGGCCCCAGGCTGAGTCACGCAGCCCTCACACCCGCCCCGCACCCCGTCTCTGTGGTCCACAAAGGGCATCCGAGGCCAGGCCTTACTGAGTGCCCACCGAGGGGGCACAGAGCCCATGGCCTGACCTTTCAGCTGAGGGGACAGCAGGAGCTGGAGAAGGCAGGGGACACAGTCTGATGAAAGCCTCACCCCACCGGTGCCCTGGGGTGGGGGGCTGCAGAATCCAAGGAGTGCGATGTGGGGCCTCCCACAGACCCTGAGCAGGAGACAGCACCCACAGGGGGCTGTGCGTCTCTGGGCCCACAAGGCCAGCTCCAGAGCCGCCCCGCCCCTGCACTGCTCAGCCTCCAGGGCGCACAGGAGGCGGGGAGGCCTCCTCCCTGACAGTGAGGACAGCACCACCGGGGGTAGTGAGGGTCCCTGCTTGGGCAGGCGCAGGGTGAGCTGGGGAGCGTCGAATCTTTGTTCCTCGGACTGGTGACTCTGAGCACCGCCGGGGCCAGGGGGTCACTCTGGAGATGGTGTCATGGGCAACGTGGCAGGCAGGCAGACTCAGGGAGAGTGTTAGGAGTCATGGACGTCAGAACTCCTGGGCCCCCTTCTGCAGGTGTGTGAGATGGCTGGGGTCCTCATGGACGTGTCCCCAGTGCTCCCATGTTTAGAACTGGGGGGACAGGGACGTCAGCCAGTCCCACCCGAGAAAAATGAGGGCCAGCTGACCAACGGTCACCAGGATTCAGGGCCCCGGGCTGATCCCTGAACCCAGCTCCCCTTCGCCTGACCACAGCTTCATGTCCTGGGCTATGGGTCCAGTGGGTCTTGGTCCCTGGGGAGGAGAGCGAGGGCACCTTCTCTGGGAGGGGTGAGCACCGCTGAGCCGCCTGCAGCAGATGCTTCCAGGAGATGGGGCGCGGGGCCATGGGGCCTCCCTGGCCAGCAAGCCCAGCAAGCCCAGCTGGGGCAGGGGCACAGCCCAGGCCTCCTGTTTGCCAAACGGCCATCCTTGCCCCTTACCAGTCAACAGAGCAGAGGAGCAGAAACGCTTTAGGTAGGCCAAGGGTTAGTGAGAAGGGAGTCCTGGGGCCCGTGCTCCTACCAGCCGACCCTCCCCGCATGGTGCATCCCCTCAGGGCTGTGCTCCTCCCCCTATATCCCTGACCCCTCGGGGCTGTGCTCCTC